CATGGTTACGAGTTTAAAAATTGGATCAACAAAGTGCCCACGCCTATTTTATTATTAACTCTATGGGCTATAAGCCTAACACTATCGGTACCGCATTTGGCCATTGATTACGTTTACTATTACGACCATCGGATCAAACAGTATATGTGCTACAAATCGGATAATTGGTTTAACACTTGGATGACCATGGTCAATATTAAAGCATTTACACGTAGGTGTCGATTAGGACTGGAGTTTATAGTGATTGCCGTAATATCTTATATTACCATCATTACAATTAAATTTAAACTTAACATGAGTATTAATAAAACGACCCAGGTAACAGGAATTACACGTATAAAAAATTGGCATATGTTTAATGATGTTAACCATGTTATAATATATTTGATATCGACCTTGGTGTTATTTGTGGCCAAGAAACTTTGCTTACAATCTAGTACTGGATTTTATACCTATAGAGCGCCCGATACGTGCACTTTTTTGAACAAAAATGATCATAAATTTTACATGATTTTTGTTGCCAACTCGATAACAATGATTACAAATGTAATGTTTGGTTATTTTAATTCAAAACGCAATCAAAAGCCAATTCAAAAACCTAGAAATCCTAGGGTCAGAGGCAATGTTGTACTAAGAGTTGTTAATCATGATCATTTGCAAAATACTATCGTTTAATTGTATTCATTGTTAATAATAATTATTTTTAAAAGTTACTTTTATCAACATTTTAAATATTGTGATTACTATATGGGCCGATTTATGCTATAACATCTTGAGCCCAATCAGTGATTGGCAATCACATACTATGATATACTTTTCTGCATAGCTATTGTATACTTTCCAGCAGTGACTGCTTGTGCTGGTACTGCATAGAAGTGCATACAATAGCTATGCAGGAAAGTATACAATAGCTATACAGAAAAGTATACCATAGTATGTGATTGGGCTCAAGATGTTATAGCATAAATCGGCCCATATATAACTAGTTTACCACTTTAATTGATGTTTAAATTATTTGCATTTAATTAAAACCTTTTTCAAAATACAATTAAAATTTTTGATAAGTGTTGGCCAAACATAACGAGTGGTCTATTTATAAAAACCGTGTAAATATAATAAAACAATGATTATTTAGTTTTTTATGAGATTTTATTTTTGTAGAAATATGTCATTGCCATATCATTATTATTAGATAACAATATTATACTGTATGAAACACTTTCATATTTAATATCCATTGGTTTCACTGATTATTACCATATTGTTATCAAAATATTATAAATTTAGTTTAACAACACCATATAATATATATGGCATATATCAATGTATTTCTACATTAAAACTAAATCCATATAAACAATGGATATATGGCTTGTGTTAGATAAAAATCTATACATTACTAATTAAATGTGTTGTATTTTTTGTAAAAATGTGTAATTTATTAAAAGATTTTAAATGTTGTGATATAATTCCGACAAACATAAGAGCAAATATTATAAAATTGCATGTTTTCTATGAATATAGTGACGATAGAAATGTATTATTTGTGACCAGCGATGATATGGTCTATGGTTTTGGTAAAAATAAATATGGTTGTTTGGGTTTTGGACACAAAGATCCCGTATTAACACCAAAAATAATACCACAATTATGCCATCAAAACATACAATACTTTGTCAATGGATTGAATTTTGTGTTAGCAGTGAATGAAAATAATACGATATACGGTATGGGGAATAATCAATATGGAGAATTAGCCAGGAACAATAAAACAAGCAATCATTATTTAAAACCAGAGAGAATATCATATTTTAATGAAAGAACAATTATTCAAATAAGTTGTGGTTCACATCACACACTGGTACTCACGAGTAATGGCCAAGTGTATGCCTGGGGTTGGAATCATTACGGGCAAATTGGTTGTAGCAATAATATAGAATGTATTTCTACACCATTTGAGATAATGTATTTTAATATTTGTGTAATACAATCCGTTTATTGTTATAACGACTCTTCGTTTGCCATCACATCCGGCGGACATGTCTTCAGTTGGGGAGACAATAGGGGGTATATATTAGGACACAATATAACTGATGAAAAAGTATTGAATCCCCGATTGATATCAACTTTAACAGATGTGAAAACAATTACATGTAAACCAATGGATTCAACAAAAATGTGGTATAAAAAAAAGTATAAGAAATGTTAGATTATATTCCTAACTAATAGGTCTTATTTTATAAACAAATTTTTAAGAATTTAATTTTATAAAATTTAATTTAAATAATTATCTTTTTATTTTATTCCTGTATGTCGTTTATAATAGAAACTAAATTATTAAATCATCTCATGGTTTAACTAGTGTTACCATAAACTCATATTTTACAGGAAACTAGTCAGAGTTAATTAAGTTTATTTAACAGTGTATATACAGTTGAAGAAATTTTGGTTTACACAAATGATAAGTTCACACAGTTGATACTTTTTTAACATGTTATTACGCCTCCCTAAATTGCTATGTTGCAAATTTAATTGTTAAATTGTTGCTTGTGAGTAAATTTTAAAATACATTAACACTTAATATGAACTCACAATTTTAGGCCATATTCGGGTACATATTTTCACACAATAAATGGATTATATTTTTGTGGTAAATATAAAAAGAAAACCTTATTTAAAGAAACAATGAGCAATGTAAAGATTCCAATACACGTGTTATCAAAACATTATTTCCAAGAATTACCACAAATTAATTCATCAATTGAATGGTACAGAGAATTCTTATGTGTTTTAATAAACGATAAAATATATAAAATAACAAATGAACACAAATTAATTGAAACAAATTATGATAACTTTATTGACTGTTATGCCAAAGAATATCAAATAACTTATAATACAATTGATTTAAAACAAATGAATGAAAAAACATTATTGGCATCAAATGAAAGTAAAAATACGAGTGAAAATAAAATTGAAAATAATATAAATAATAAGTCAAGTGATGGTAATTTTAAAACACAATCCGAAGATTTAATACAACCGATGCCCAGTTGTAGCACAAATATTAGCGCAGAGCAAACAAATGATGGTAATTATAAAATTCAATTCATTGAGATGTCAGCCATAGGTTCGGGTGGTAAATATCTATTTTGCAAAAAAGTAAAATAAATGATTAATTATTCCATAGGTTCGGGTGGTTTTGGGACTGTATTTAAAGTAAAGCATAGATTGGATGATAAGATATATGCCGTCAAAAGAGTTCAATTCGGGGGTAAATATCTATTTTGCAAAAAAGTAAAATAAATGATTAATTATTTTTTAATAAATACACAGATTTTTGTGAAGAAAAGAAACTAAAAGTTCTCAAAGAAGTAAAAAGTTTAGCAAAAATGGATTCAGAATTTGTGGTCAAATATTACAACTCATGGCTTGAGTCCAAACATCTCTACATTCTAATGGAATTCTGTTCACAAAGTCTTAAATCTCTTCTCACAGACAAAGCCATAGTCTTTGGGAGACAAACGGAAGACCAGATCAATGTTTTTGAATATTTTATTTCCTGCGAAATATTCAAACAGATCTTAGAGTGCGTCCAATATCTCCATGAATTAAAACCACCGGTCATTCATAGGGATCTCAAACCCGACAATATATTAATTGATCCCAACTTTACATCCAATCGTTGTGTAAAACTGTGTGACTTTGGTTTAGCCACCGATCACAACACCGACGGACACACTGCCAGCCGATACGGCCATACATCAGGTGTGGGCACTATTAAGTATATGTCTCCCGAAGTGATTCATTGCAGAGAATATAATCATAAATCAGACATTTATAGTCTCTGTATTATCGGCGAAGAGTTGTTTGGTATCAATCTTCAGGCGTAAGTATTTTATTAATAAATTAATGGTGTTTTTTATGCGTATATTTTGTGTGCATTCATAGCTCGAAATCATTTACTACCAAAAATTCTGCTTTGAAAACATCCATTTTATGTATGTATCGGACACTTCTGGCAATGATGTCAACACCCAATTGGAGACAAAGGCCTGAGTGTCGGGAAGTGTTGGCCAAACATAACGAGTGGTCTAACGATAAGACTGTTGTTACGACTCATAAGGACTTTAATGTTGTGTTAAATACCCTTAAAACTAATGCTAATTCAGTTTTCTATCAGATTCTGCTCAATAAAACAATATAATTTTGTCGCATTTGTATTGTATTCAGCAAAAGTATTATTTATTTTTAAATACAACTCTGGATTACTATCTTTTCATATTGTTTGCAATTATAAACAACATAAATACATGTATATTAATTTTATTAATTCATTACAATGAATAAATTACAAGTATCAAAATAATCATCAATCATAATTAATTTATTATTTAATCTACTATTTTAAAACATAAATATTTATTAAATTAATATTATATTTTAATAAAATAATAATAAATAATATTGGTGTAGGTAGCAATAGTTAAATAACTTGGTGTAGGTGTTGCCAATTATTAGCTAAAATTTTTTAATAGTCTTGACATTAATTACATATTAAAATATCTATAAGATTATAAATTTAAGAAGTAATCACTTTTTATTTACAATAAAAATAGATAGGGACACATGGTAGTATTAAGTTAGAAAACACCAACTTACAACTTACAAATTATCATCATTTATTATATGCAATAGTAATAAATATTTGTCTGCATTGGTTGTACTGATTATAACAATATCTATTAAATACATGTATTTAAGTGTTGTTAATATTTATATCACTCTTTAATAAAACACATAAAACTTTTAACAAAGAGTAATAAAAATGTGCGTTAAATGCATATATTGTCAGCAATTAATGTATAGATAATCATAATTTTTAAACTGTTTGATAAAGTGAAACAAACAAGTGTTTAATAAATGATATTTTATAATTGTTGTTAAAATGTGTGAATTATTAGAAGTGTTTAATATTTATAATAAAATTCCGCCAAATATTAGAGAAAATATTACAAAATTATATGTGTTTCACGATTGGAATCAAGGGTTTAATGTATTTCTTGTGACAACCGATGATATGGTTTATGGTTTTGGTAAAAATACTTACGGATGTCTTGGTTTTGGACACCAATTTCCTATACAATCACCACAAATAATACCACAATTATGTCATAAAAACATACAATACTTTGCTAATGGTATGGGATTTGTGTTGGCTTTAACTGCCAATAATGTTGTATACGGTTGGGGTAATAATGTTTTGGGTCAATTGACCAGAAATGATGATGGTAATTGGTTGCAACGTGCATTTAGTTTGGTCACTGAATCCACTTTTAAACCGCAAATTATATCATATTTTAACGATAAAAATGTTGTACAAATCACTTGTGGTAGTAATCATTCACTAGCCCTCACAAGTGATGGCCGGGTATATGCCTGGGGTCACAATAATTGTGGGCAAACTGGTTGTGGAGATAATCGCGAACGTGTTTTAGCACCCGTTGTCATACAATTTGATAGTAATTATAAAATACAATCCATTTATTGTTATAACGACTCGTCGTTTGCCATCACATCCGACGGACATGTCTTCAGTTGGGGTGAGAATAGTAACCATAGATTGGGACACAATATAAGTTATGATTTTGCAAATCCCCGATTGATATCAACCATAAGTGGTGTGAAAACAATCGGTTGTAGTAATTATTGTACATATTTTCATACAATGAATGGTTTTTATTTTTGTGGAAAATATTATGAAAATAATGTAGAATTTATTGAAAGAAATACGAAACAAATACTATTTGAATATAATGTTCAAGAATTATCACAAATTAATTCATGGATTAAACCAATTTATAATCATTTTATTTTTGTTTTAATGAACGATAAAATACATAAAATATCAAAAGATCTCAAACTACTTGAAACCAATTATAAAAATTTTAATGACGTTTACGCCAATGAATACAATATAACATATAATACAATTACTTTCCAACAAATAAGTAACAAAACAATTGCATCAAAAGAAAGCACAAATATTAGTGAAGATTTAATTCAACCGATGCCTAGTTATGGCACAGGTATTAGCGCAGAGCAAACAAATGATGGTAATTATAAATCCCAATTCATTGAGATGTCAGCCATAGGTTCGGGTGGTATACTTCGGGTGAGCTATATCTCAAAGTGCCCACACCTAACGTATGGCCGTATCGGCTCGCAGTTTGCCTATCAATGTTGTGATCAGTGGCTAAACCAAAGTCACACAGTTTTACACAACGATTACCATCATTTGTTTGCTCTGCGCTAATACCTGTGCCATAACTAGGCATCGGTTGAATTAAATCTTCACTAATATTTGTGCTTTCTTTTGATGCAATTGTTTTGTTACTTATTTGTTGGAAAGTAAAGCATAAATTGGATGATAAGATATATGCCGTTAAAAGAGTACAATTTAAGGGTAAATTTAATTTTATGTCTATATGTTTTATTTATTTATAAAATTTTAATAACATTTAATCAATTTTCACAGATTTTAGTGAAGAAAAGAAACAAAATGCTGTAAAAGAAGTAAAAAGTTTGGCAAAAATGGAGTCAGAATTTGTGGTCAAATATTACAACTCATGGCTTGAGTCCAATCATCTCTACATTCAAATGCAATTCTGTTTACAAAATCTTCGATCACTTCTCAAAGACAAACCCATTGTCTTTCAAAGACAACCGGAAGACCAGATGAATGCCATCGAGTATTTCATTTCATGTGAAATATTCAAAGAGCTCTTAGAGTGCGTCCAATATCTACACAAATCCAATCCACCGGTCATTCATCGGGATCTCAAACCGGCAAATGTATTAATTGATCACAACTTCAGTTTTAATCGTTGTGTAAAACTGTGTGACTTTGGTTTAGCCACTGATCACAACATTGATAGGCAAACTGCGAGCCGATACGGCCATACGTTAGGTGTGGGCACTTTGAGATATAGCTCACCCGAAGTATACCATTATAAGCAATATAACCACAAAACAGACATTTATAGTCTCGCACTAATCGCCGAAGAGATCTATAGTATTGATCCACAAAAGTGAGTGTTTTTTATCAATTATTTTTGTGTTTTTTATAATTGTTGTTATGTTTTATATTTATTTATAGTTCGCATTCGTCTCAAGCAATTGAAACCGAGTTTAATATATATTATGTAAATCTATACCAGACTTTACAGTCAATGCAGTCGAGTCCTGATTATAAGCAAAGGCCTGAGTGTCGGGAAGTGTTGGCCAAACATAACGAGTGGTCTATCGATAAGACTGTTATCACAAATCATAAAGAATTCAATTCAACGATAAATGCACTCAAATCTAATGACAATTCAATTTTCTATGAAATTTTATTTCGTAAAACACAATAATTTATTAGTATAATAATACAGTATTACTGTAGATCTATAGTGCAGTATTTAACCATAGTTTTATTTAACTTTAATATGTAATTTTGAACTTTTTTTGCTATTGTTTGCAATTATAAACAGAATAATTATATTAATTTCTTAATTAATTACATTTAATAGATTTATCTAGATACATTTATCAAACTAATCTTCAACCATAATTAATAAAATATTTATTCTATAATTTACCGATTCGTGAGATATTTAAATTCATTGATTGCTATTAATAATAGCCTAAGCTTTAGAGCTTCGATGCCGAGAAGGGCAATTCTATGGGCAAATGTGATTATATAGAGTGCAACTACTCATACATAGTGTTATAATCATAGAAAGGAAGGGGTGAATAATATGACTATGCGTTCAATTAAAGGGCACAATATTTAGTCAAACACTATAACGCTTATAATGATTGACTCAAAACATTTTTTATGGGAAAAACGTATTTGTTAGCATCGATGCTTTAGAGGCTTAAAACCAAGAGAAATGCTAAAAATGTGAATAATCAAGCTCATTTCCTAACTACCATACCTTAACAATTCAACAATAATGAGTCGCTCTTAATGTGATGTTAAGTTTGAACACATATAGTCATTTGCTATACTGACTCTCGGATCAGTCATTTTACACACTGACATTTCTCATTGAGTGTATAATTTGTCTCAATGTTTATTATAATCTTATTAATGTTTTATATGAGCCAATCGTATAATACATGTATTAATTTTAATTTATTAAACGTGAAAAATCTTAAACAAAAATGTATGGATTTTGTGTTTACTTGATTAAAATCACAAAAATTTAACATGCTTTCATTTGAAGTTTTAATTATTTTATTGATCTTTAATTAACACTTTGAAAAATGTCTGAATTTTTGAAACGATTTAAATTTTATGACAATATTTCAACAGATTTAAAAGAAAATATTACAAAATTACATGTATTTATTGACTTGTGTGATAAATATAATGTATTATTTGTGACAAACAATGATATGGTCTATGGTTTTGGTAATAATACCTATGGATGTCTGGGTTTTGGACACAACACTCCTATATTATCACCAGAACTGATACCAGAATTATGTCATCAAAACATACAATACTTTGTCAATGGATTGGATTTTGTGTTAGCAGTGAATAATATTAATATTTTATACGGTTTTGGTATTAATGGTCCTGGACAATTAGCCCGGGTTGAACTTAATGATCATTATTTAAAACCAGATATTATACCATATTTTAATGATAAGAAAATCGCGCAAATAAGTTGTGGTTATAACCACACATTGGCCTTAACCAGTGATGGCTGGGTATATGCCTGGGGTAGCAATTGTTGGAAACAAATTGGTTGCGGAAATAATAGTGAATATATTAATACACCAATTGAAGTACAATTTGATAATAATTATAAAATAAAATCCGTTTATTGTTATAATGACTCGTCGTTTGCCATCACATCCGATGGACATGTCTTCAGTTGGGGTCAGAATAGTAACCATAGATTGGGACACAATATAACCGATGATATACTATCAAAACCCCGATTAATATCAACCTTAAGTGATGTAAAAACAATCAATTGTTTACTATTTAGTACATATTTCCTGACAACTAATGGTTTATATTTTTGTGGAAACTATGAAAAAGACAACCAAATATTGGAAACAACTCCTAAACCAATACTATCTGAATATTGTTTCCAAGAATTACCACAAATTAAATCATGGATTCTCTGACAACTAATGGTTTATATTTTTGTGGAAACTATGAAAAAGACAACCAAATATTGGAAACAACTCCTAAACCAATACTATCTGAATATTGTTTCCAAGAATTACCACAAATTAAATCATGGATTCGTTGGAATAATATTGAATTTATTTATGTTTTAATGAATGATAAAATATATAAAATATCAAATGAACACAAATTAATTAAAACAAATTATAATGACTTCATTGACTTTTACACCACTGAATGTCAAATAACAGGTAATACAATTGATTGGAAAGAAATAAATGATACGATGTCAACACCAAATAAAAGTAAACTAACAAGTTTTGGTAGTTGTGATGTCAAGCGATGACAATAATACGAGTGGCAGTGAATTATCGCAATCGATGGCCAGTCTTAGCATAAGTAGTAACACAACTGAAATAAGTGATGGTAATTATGAAATATTGATAAAATTATCAAATAAATATATTGATTATACCTAATACTTGACAGGTGGGAGCCATGAGTCGCATAATAACTATTACACTGTTAATTTTGATGTGATTGGTGACCAGATTGGTGAGGGCTGGTTCGGCAAAGTGTTTAAAGTGAGGCATAAGTTAGAGGAAAAGTTATACGCTATTAAAATTGTCACTTATAATGGTAAGTTTATCAAGTTATTATTATTTACTTATTCCTAATTATTTATATTGTTTGATTACATACTTAAGAAACTAGTAATGAGAGTAAACAGCGAACGCTAAATGAGGTAAAAAGTTTGGCAAACCTGAGCTCACAATATGTGGTACAGTATCACAACTCATGGCTCAACGATAACAGCACTCAACTGTACATTCAGATGGAGTATTGCCCGCAAAGTCTAAAGACAGTACTGGAAACTAAAGGGCCGGCATTTGGCAGACAATCACCGGCCGAACCCATGAATCCGTTCGAGTATTTCATTTCGTGTGAAATATTCAAAGAACTGTTAGAATGTGTTGAATATCTTCATGAATCGGTTCCAACGATTATTCATCGCGATTTCAAACCGGACAACGTTTTGATTGCCAGTACATTAAGCGGTAATAACAACAATAGCCGGCGATTCATAAAACTGTGTGACTTTGGTTTGGCCACTGTTCACGACCCGCACCAATACGAGCACTCGGCGGTCGGCACTCGTGGTTATATAGCGCAAGAAGTATACGACGGTAAATATAACCATAAGGTGGACATTTATAGTCTTAGTCGAATTGGTGAATATTTGTTTGACATTTATCTAGCTGAGTAAGTGTTTTGAATAAATATCACGATTAAATATTTATTACAAGTATTATTGCATTTATAGTTCGCAGCCGTTTAATGCAAATGAATCGGTGTTCAAGACATGCATACTATGTATGTCTCAAATATTAGAGAAAATGATGTCAACACCCAATTGGCGACAAAGACCCGAATGTCGGGAAGTGTTGGCCAAACATAACGAGTGGTCTATCGATAAGACTGTTGTCACAAATCATAAGGAATTCAATTCAGTGTTAAATAAACTTAAATCTAATGTGAATTCAGTTTTCTATGAAATTTTGTTTTATAAAACACAGTAATCTATAATTTGAATTAATAATTGTTTTAATTAAACATACAATAGTATTCAATACAAAATATTAAGTTTAATTATTATTGAATTAAGTAAATCCTTATCTAGAATTTGTTTTCGAATTGTATTTAAAAATTAATTAATTAAAATTGTAGTCAATTTCATTGAAATGAAAAGTAATGTCTATTTATGTCATGAATTAAATAACTATTAATGTTAAACATTTTTATTATAAATGTAGTTATATAAACCTTATAACAGTAAGTAAAATAAATTTTAATACAAAATAACAAAATTGTGTAAACATTAAAATTAAAAGTAATGTAAACTTAAATATAATTAAACAAAATTTTGATAAAAAATTACAGGATAAACTAATTATTTAATTTTAAAAAACACAATTTAAATATTAGCTGTTAATATAAATTATTAATTGATACAAATTTCAATGTTTAATGTTTTAATAATGTTGGTAAACAAAATTGTAAGCATGATTCAATTCAATTCAGTTTTCGTGCCTCCAGTTTCAGTTCAAGTGTGGCTTTTATTTTGGGCGGACAGTGAACGGCAATGGCGTCGACTGACACACGACTACCCGTCCGCTCACCACAAATGAATACAGCGGTCAAAGCCCTGCCGTAGACACAGCCGGTGTCCAAACCGGTGGCGAATTGAGTCAA